AGTGTTGACCAATCAGGCATTAGAGGAAGGCGGGGACTTCTCAGTCATGAACAAAAGTGAGCTTTCAGGCAGTATGGGAATGCTACTCAAAGGACCCATTTGCACCTGTATCCCAGGTGAGACCCAGCCATAAGGACGTCATGAGGACTAGGGAGGTTGAATTACAGGCCCATCGACACCATCTCCACACATTTTTCAGCAGACGACCCAACGATCATCAAGCCATCCGGGTACATCTTTACCTGAACGCCTAGGACAGGTCAGGAGATGCTGAAGGGTGTGTAGCAATTGTAAATACCCTTGAAATGAGTCCGACGGAAAGAATGAACTGACGGTATCTGTCGCTGGTGGAGAATGCGAGGAAGGAATAAAACATGGAATATCTGGTAGGTAAGAGGTAAACGGATAAAAACTAACAATTGTAATGTAGAGCCGGGCGCACCTGAGCATTCAGAAGGTTTGTATGAAGCGGGTAAGGCGGTACACATTGAAAACGAGAAGAGCCTAGTGAGAGTCTGCTTAAATGCTTTAAAAGTTCTGGTGGATCAGTTCGATCACGCTCTCCAACAGGAGCCCACTGACGGAGTTGAGAATGGACCTAGTGTTGGACAAGACTGACAGAAGGGAAAGGTTTGTCTACCTAATCACGGCCTGAATGGCCAGATGTGAGATGCCTCACAAGGTGTTAGAAGTCTGGCGCAGAGCTAGAGCAGTGTCATAGGACGACAAAAGGGATCTATGTGTAGAAGCACATGGAGGAAGAGGTCCAGTCTCTCTAGCCCGAGACTCAGGTCCCCAATAGGCAGAGCAAAGGTCATATATACATACTTCCACCTAGCCTACTGAAAGCTCGATCCAGGAGTGTGATCCTTGACTGAGCACTGGAAGGCCTTCAGCCATGCCGGGACTTCAGGGGGAGGCACGTAATGGGAAGTATCTGGGTAAGCACAGTGTAGTCCACTGAAGCCGAGAAGAACTCTGGCAGGCCACCTGCTGTAACTGATTCCAGCAAGGAAACCATCCCACCGAAGGCAGAGAGAGAACTAAATTTTATAGCTATCTAACAAATGTACTTATAGAACTTTCCCTATCAACCAAGTGGACGAACATTAGTTGCGCTGCGTATGATACCGACAATGCCCTAAAACCAACCGTCCCACCATAATAATAGAGGGCTCACTGCAGCACAGTGGCTGGTGGCGCAAAGAAATTATTCATATATATATAGTGCAACAGCTGTCAAGTTGTATCGGTGATTTGGCGCGCAACGACTTTGGTTAATCTGTGGTGTATGTTGTTATTGTATTAAGGCTGCGTCAACCAAATTTTCTCATAGAGTCAAGGCCCATTTCATAATAGAGGCTTCTGGCCACTTAGTGAGTCGGCCATCGGTAGGGTGGGCTAGGGACACAGGCACTGAGGTGGGCATCCTTGCTTCCAGGGAAATGGAGTCCTCCGATATCGCCTCCAATCCGTGGATTGGAAAACCAAGTTGTGGCCTCTGAGGAAGAGCTACATGTTCTAGGCATGGTGCCAATGGGGTAGGCACTAAAGTAGGCACCCTAAGATGCAGGCAGTCCTCTGTCCTACGGCACAACCCGAGGAAAACATGTGACGAGCCCCAAGAAGAAGCTAAGATGGTCTAAGTGGAACTTCGGAAGGCTTGCAATGGGCACAAGGTATTCTCTCATCCTTGCACCCATGACTGTAGGAACAAGGAGCCCTATTTTTTCTCCAATCTGTGGTCAGAACCTAAGGAAAACTACACTACACTACACTAAAGAAGGCCTAACACGGTTCTGGTAGAATTCAGGGGGGTAGACAAGGAGTTACATCCACTACGTCAGGCATCCTTGACTACATTGATATAGAAGCAGTTCACTGGTGTAGGTCACTTTTTCGACTTGTAAGTGTAACCCCCGTACAAGCCGTACACCCAAAGATCATGAAAGGCATTAGACTAACCGAATGCTGAGAAAGTCATTTATTTGTCATTAGAGAAATCAAGCAGATTTCATGCTCCCCCTCTACCGCATTTATATGTTTTTTTGGAGCTTGAGACCTCAGTGCCTTCAAGTGCAGTCAATGAAAGAACTTTCTCTATTGGAAAGACGTCCTATGACCTAAGTAAAAAGGCCTGTCATATTCTAATTTTGCCCTAAAATCAAATGTAATTTAATTTACATCCATTTATTTACCAATAAATTATTCTAGAAGGATACTGTGTTACAATTTGTTACCCTATTTGTATTACAC